AATGCACCAGGGTAGAAATGCAGATGCGTTGGCGCTATATTTTTCTGCTACATCTTATTATAGTACAGGTGGTTGAGGTTGTGAGTGGAGATTGCATCCTTACTGCTGATGATTCTATTTCATATGGCAGATATCTTGTGGACCTTCTTTTCATATCATTGTTGATTTAAGCTATAATTGATTAACTCTATTTTTTAGGTGAATGTACAAATGGAATATTCTATGGATGTTGGTCATATTGATGCAGCTAGAGCTCCATTGGGAGCTGTTGAGGCGTGACTAATAGATTTTGGATAAGTATTCCTATTATTCTCATATTTGTGTGTTTGAGTAATATTTCTATATCTTCTAACACATTTTATACTTTTAGGTTTATCCCTCAAGAGTCAAGAGCTCACAGCATTATTCCTCACAACAAGATTAGGTTGCAGTATCTATATGGAGGCTAACATCCATACTGTGGTGGATCTGATATTTCTCTTATCAACATTGCTTGTTATTTGGTTGATAAGATTCAAGTTGAAGTCATCTTATATTAAGGAGTTTGACAATATGCAGTTATCCTTTCTGGTATGTTTTTCTTTGTCGTATAATTTTATATCATAATTTAACAACTTTTTGATTTGGATTCAAAGAATATGTTGCATAATTTTCTATTGTTTGTGTAAAAGGTGGTGCCTTCTACAATTTTGGCAATACTAGTACATCCATATACAAAGCATATTAGGATAGCTAGAGTTCTTTGGGCATTCACTGTGTATTTGGAAACTATTTCGATTCTTCCTCAACTTCGTTATATGCAGAAAGCAAAGGTTTGAAAGATTTAAACTCTGTTCTATAATTTTTGTTCTACTATAAGTCTATAACTTCTTTAATCCTTATAGGTTTTATATATATTGTAATTCTAACATATACGTTTTCAGATTGTTGAAACATTCACCGGATATTATGTATTTTCACTTGGTGTCTCTAGATTCTTTGCACTAGCTTATTGGATTATTCATGTGAGATTTCTCTTTTATATATATATATATATATATATATATATATATATATATATATATATATATATATATATATATATATATATATATATATATATATATATATATATATATATATATATATATATATATATATCTCAAATATCATTTATCTTTATACTTGAATAATGATGTGTAGTTTTTTTAATCTTTTGCAGACCTATGATACGCGAGGGAAATATCTATATTTCATCGGCTACGGCTATTTCTGGATGTTGGCAGCATTTTTATCAGAGATCATTCAGTCTTTCATCTTGGTGGACTTTTGCTACTATTATACGAATAGGTATGCCATTTTGTTTTCTCTAATGAACTTCTATTTTTTTCTGCATGTTCAAAATCTATATATAGCTTTTCATATCATTGTTGATTTAAGCTATAGTTAATTAACTCTATTTTTCAGGTGAATGTACAAATGAAATATTCTATGGATGTTGGTCATATTGATGCAGCTAGAGCTCCATTGAGAGCTGCCGAGGCGTGACTAATGGATTTTGGATAAGTATTCCTATTATCCTTAAGGAAAGCTGACAATGACCAAGCCCTTTCAGCTGCTGCTCATACAAAGTCAACAAATTGGGTTGAATTTCGCCGAATTGATAATTGGTCGTGGCTTTAGAACTGTCATTAGACACCGCGACTTCGAAGAGAGATCTAAATCATGGGTTGAATAACTATGGTAAAGCAACACATTGCGAGTTTGGTCTTATTTTCTACATCATGTATTACTGGTACAAGAAACAAATGAATTTACCTGGGTCAGAGATGGGAGGATTCCTACTGTTATTATTGAAGTTTTCTCAATATTTTTTTTTTTTTTCACTTTTCTATTTTGACTATAAATCTGTGTTTTTTCTTCCATCCTTAGGATATTTGAATTCGGGTTAGGGTTTAGGAAAAGTTTTGATTTTGTGGTGATTACTAATTTGTTAGATCTACCAGAGAAACGCAACCAGATTTAGAGCACCGACAAATGAAACGAACTCTACATGGAAGGTTGGATAAAATGGATATGTATAGTGTGTACTTGGATATACAGTGAGTCCATTCTCTTCCTTTTTTTTATATAATTTTTCTGTAGAATTATGCACACGGGAATAAGACTAGACATGACTGGATCTATTTCTCTCTTTATTTCTTCACTTTTGGTTGATTTTTCCTTTGAATTTCGTGAATAAGATTTTTCTTACATTTGCATCCTCCATGATTGATAAAATGTTTTTATGAACTGTTCACCTATAGCTCAACATTTCAAACATTATTTGTAAAACTGAAAGTTTTAATATGGTTTTTGTTCAAGTTTTTCTAAATCTTGAATAATTTTTTATGTTGAGTTGAGATCTATTATTTGTATTTTCTTTTATATATACATACATTTTTAACGAGGTTTAGATAAGTTGCAATGTTATTAATCTTTTAAGCTTGTAAATTTTATCTTTTTAATACATGTTTGGTGTTTGATAAAAAGTCTATGCTTAAGATGTCTTCAGAAATTATGTTTTTTCTCTCGATACGAAGAACTCTTAAAATATAGCAATTTGTTATAAGAAAAAGTATATGCGTAACTTGTGTTCAAACAGAAATTTGACTTTGTTATTTGATTATTACAGGATGCTTCCTAAGTACAATGTCACTGCCATGCCACACTACATGTTGGTTCGATATAAGTTTACTAATAGTAGTTATTTATTGATATTATGTAGTGTTGCATGGAAGAACCATACTATTTTGGTTTTATATGTGCTGCATCCCGAATTTGGATTTGATTTTTATTTCTCAGTGGCGTTTTTCGGTGTCCCCGAGGTCAGTTCAACTATTGACACCAATGAAACACGGGAGAAAGCCAAGGAGTTATCATTAGATTTGAAGAGCATAACACAATTATATAATGAATATGTTGTCCCCTTTAAGCTCTATGAGGTACTTCTTTCTCTTTCTGGCTGTGTGTGTAGATTTGTGCAACTTCAGATATTTCTCATCTGGTTGCTCACATTGTTTGATTATTATTGAACAATTATTAGGTGTCCTTCAGAGTCTTTTGAGCTTTAGCATTTAGAATTATTCTCAGCTATTTACTTCCATGTATCATTTAGTTGACGTAAATATTCTGTAACTAATGCTTTTGATTTCACTTTGGTAGTATGTTAGAAATGAATTGTTCACTTCGGTAGTTAATTGGAAATGAATTGAAATTATAACATAATTCCTGCAATTCAGGTGAGTATAAGTGGATATGCAACATCAAGTGGTGGAAGAGACATTGAGAGAGTGGATATGTCTCTTGATGGAGCAAAACTTGGACGAAGGCTTCAAGGTTTCAAAAAAGTGACATTCCTTACACAGCAGACGCAAATGGCAACTGTGACAAATGGGGTTGGGTTCTATTTGAGGTCACAACTGAAATTCAACAAAGCACTGAGATTATCGCAAAAGCGATATGTGATTTTTCTTCTGCTAAGTTTCATATAAGAGTAGGAAATAATATTCTAAGATGTCTATTGAATTCCTTGGACTTTTGTGATATAACATATTCGTTTCGTGTTGTATCCGTATCGTATTATGTATCCAGACTTCTAAGGTTATCGATCAAATTTGTAGACACTTTTGTAGAATATACCACATGAATACTGAAAATCTTATAGCTGATATTTTGTTCTTGCAGTGGAGTTAGGGATTGATGATTCTGTTAATAAAGATACATTAAGAGATCCTGTCATGGTTGAAGTGGATAACATGCCTGATGAAAGTAGAGAAGAAGAAAGTTCTGCCGAACCAACTTACAAACAAGACTAAGATGGTAACATGACCCACGATTTTTCCGGAGCGTTAACAATACCCTCAGCAGTTCTTCATTTTTGTTTAATTTCTATGTAACGATTATTAACATTATGACTGCGTGATTTCATGGCTGAAGATTTATTATTTTTTTCTTTAATTTTGTTTTGATTCAAACAATTTATTTCAGATACCAATCAATAAATCAATATTTTATTTTACATGTTTTCTAATTATTTATTTAAATTCATTTTAACTTTCGAGTTAAAGACTACTGAAATCTATATTTGGATCTGCAGTACAAAGCAATGCAATAAATATTTGACATGTAAATATTGAAGGCGAAATATAGTGATTTTGTTCAATTTCTTTGTATCTTGGTGACCATGAGCAACAGAATCCTCAAGAATTGTCATTCAAAGGCCTTATATGTTACCCATTATGTTTTGTGTGAAGCCACTGCAAAATTATATTCCAAAGAATATTATGTTAGTGTTGGTAACTATAGATTTGGATTCTCTTCCTTATAAATCATTGATCTCAATTAGGTGGTTTATATATTTGATTTAATTATCATTTGTGTAGCTTTATCATAAAATGTAGTGTAACAGAATTAGAATTAGATAGAATAAAATTTTATTTATTAAAATTTCTATTAAAAATATATCTTAATCTTATCTATACGGACGCAAGAGATCTTTTACTAAGTTTTTATTTAATTGATTATGTAATTCAACCTTTTCACTCTAATAGTCTAATGTTTAAAATGTGATTGAAATAAATAAATCAAAACCTACGTAAATATTACTCTTAATATGCATTGGAATATATTTTTTGTTGTGAAATTTAAATTCTATATACATTGTATATTTTAGAAAGTCACAAACTAATTATCCAAATAATGCTATTTCTTTAGGAGTATCTTCTTACCGGTTAAAACCCTAATACAGAAGAAAACTATAACCTCCATCAAATCAAAATCGCAAACAAGTTCGATTCGAACTGAACTCTTCGCAGCCGGAGTTAGTTATCGCCGGACAGAAGCACTCACAACGTCGATTTCAGGTTTGAAATTTTATTTTGTTTTTAAAATTTCAGATTTTCTTCCCCTCCAGGTGCTGCCGCGATTTGCGAAAAGTGTTTGATTTAAAATGCTGTTTTTTTAACTCAGTGGTAGAAAAAATGGAAGAAGATGATTATGAAGAGTATGTTCCTGTGGCAAAGCGTCGTGCTATGGAGGCTCAGAAGATTCTACAACGCAAAGGGAAGGCCTCTGCTGTAATTGACGATGATTCGGAAAAACTACGAGTGGTTGAAATGAAGCCGAGTCTTCTTGTAAAGGCATCACAGCTGAAAAAAGACCAACCTGAGATCAGTGTTACAGAGCAGATTGTTCAACAGGAGAAGGAGATGATTGATAATTTGTCCGATAAGAAAACCCTTATGTCGGTTCGCGAATTAGCTAAGGGGATTACTTATACCGAGCCTTTGCCTACTGGGTGGAAGCCTCCTTTGCATATACGAAGGATGTCGAAGAAGGATTGTGAATTTATTCAGAAACAGTGGCATATAATAGTTAACGGTGAAGAAATTCCGCCTCCTATTAAGAATTTTAAGGACATGAGGTTTCCGGATCCGATTCTGAAAATGTTGAAAACTAAGGGGATTGTGCAGCCAACGCCGATTCAGGTGCAGGGTCTTCCTGTTATTTTATCTGGGCGTGACATGATTGGGATTGCTTTCACGGGTTCGGGTAAAACTTTGGTCTTTGTGCTTCCTATGATCATGATGGCAATGCAGGAGGAGATTATGATGCCTTTAGTTCCTGGGGAAGGTCCGTTTGGTCTGATTATTTGTCCGTCGAGGGAATTGGCTAGGCAAACGTATGAAGTCATTGAACAATTCTTGTTGCCTTTGAAGGAAGCTGGATATCCAGAGCTCAGGCCTTTGCTTTGTATCGGTGGAATTGATATGAGATCGCAGCTTGAGATTGTCAAGAAGGGGGTTCATTTGGTTGTTGCCACACCCGGGAGGTTGAAGGATATGTTGGCCAAGAAAAAAATGAATCTTGATAACTGCAGGTATTTGACGTTAGATGAGGCTGATCGATTGGTAGATTTGGGATTTGAAGATGATATAAGAGAAGTTTTCGATCACTTTAAAGCTCAAAGGCAAACTCTCTTATTTTCTGCTACTATGCCAACCAAAATTCAAAACTTTGCTAGAAGTGCTTTGGTGAAACCTATTATCGTCAATGTGGGGCGTGCCGGGGCGGCAAATCTTGATGTAATTCAGGAGGTAGAGTATGTCAAACAAGAGGCAAAAATAGTTTACCTCCTTGAGTGCCTACAAAAAACGCCACCTCCCGTTCTTATTTTTTGCGAGAACAAGGCTGATGTCGACGACATTCATGAGTATCTTCTCTTGAAAGGAGTCGAAGCCGTGGCTATTCACGGAGGCAAGGATCAGGAAGAGAGAGAGTATGCCATTTCATCATTTAAGGCTGGAAAGAAAGATGTCTTGGTTGCAACAGATGTTGCATCTAAAGGTTTGGATTTTCCTGATATTCAGCATGTCATCAACTACGACATGCCAGCTGAAATAGAAAATTATGTCCATAGGATTGGACGTACTGGAAGATGTGGTAAAACTGGTATAGCGACAACGTTTATAAACAAGAACCAAAGTGAGACAACATTGCTTGATTTGAAACACCTATTGCAAGAAGCAAAACAAAGGATCCCTCCAGTTTTAGGTGAGCTGAATGATCCAATGGAAGATACTGAAGAAATCACTGGCATAAGTGGTGTCAAGGGGTGTGCATATTGTGGTGGGCTTGGGCATCGTATCCGTGATTGTCCTAAATTAGAACATCAGAAGAGTGTGGCAATTGCAAATAATCGAAAGGATTATTTTGGATCTGGAGGTTACAGAGGGGAAATTTGAAAGGCATTGGTCCCTTGTTTACTAAATTTTCTTTTAATACTACTGGCTTATATATGCAGATTTTAGATTGTATACCATGAAATCTAATTATCTTTCTTCCTGACAATGGTACTGGTGTTAGGGTACGTACCAATTTTCTATGAACGCGTCTAGGCCATGTCTAGTAGATTTGCAACCTTGAAATTTTTGCCATGAAATTTAGTGAATTTCATTACCTGTACTGGTGGTGCCTTGGTTAAAATATGATTGAATTGTATTGTGTTATAAGTTTGGACTGAATTGTAGATTAATTTTCATATCGATGGTTCATTCATTCAGATGATTTGTCTGGACCTGGTGCCTTCTTCTCTTAGTTTTTTTAATACCAAGAATGTTAATATTGATATTTGATATTTGATGTTGTTCATAGCAAAAGTTCAAATCTATTTTATCCAATGAAATAAAACTAATGGTATGCAATGAAATGAAGTGGAGTATCACTGTTTGGATATTTAAAAAAAGGAAAATTCCAACGTTCCCGTTAAATCTGTTGGACATATACCCAAATTATTTGGCCTAAATTTATTGTACAACTGCTAAACACTCTCCTGATAACAATTAAGGCAACCTGTTAGTTTCAGTGTTTGAGGCAAAGGAAGGTTTTTGTTGAGTTCACTGGTATTATTTGTAGTTTAAAGCTTCCTGGTAAATGAACTTGTATTTTTAGATTGTTCTAATCTTGATATTTAAGATCATTTACCTACAGACCGAAACAATCTGCTTAGTTTCAGCCCATTTTGAGATTTTCACAGGAAGTTGTAGCTATAGGCCTTGCAGATATATATATGTTTTGTTCCTTTTACTCAACTGTTGATAGCTAAACTTTATGCAAGCATTCTTGCTAGACAATACAAATGCTCAAGAAACAAAATAAGATGAAGAAGCAAGAGAGTTGAAAAAAGTTGCAGTGGAGTGAGGAATGTACACAAGAATGTGAGTTTTCAAGCAAAACCATGGGAAATTTTACCTATTGGTGGACCATGTGGAGCTGGAAAATCATCACTACTTGAGATCATAGCAGGTAAACACAGTCCACAAAAAGCAATCAGGATATGTTACTCAAAGATACTCTGTTTCCCTTACGGTTGAAGAAACCATAAAGGTCAGTGCTTAAGGCTAAAGCTTCCTCAACGACTATATTCAAGGGTCAAATGACTGATTCAAGAGCTTGGACTTAATCATGTTGCTGGTACTAGAATTGGTGATGGTCGAGTCCAAGGTATATCCGGTAGCGAAAGGCGAAGAGTTTCTATTGGTGTTGAAGTCAGACACAATCCAATAGTTGTGATTCTTGATGAACCAACTTCAGGGCTTGATAGTTGTATAGTTCAGCCTTGCAAATAACTGATATTCTTTAGGTTATGAGTGAAACAAGGGGAAGAACTATATAATACCAAGTATTCATCATCAACCTGGTTTCAGAATAGTGAAGCTGTTCAATTCACTGTTGTTTTTGGCTAATGGTTCTGTGTTACATCATGGAAGTGCTGATTTACTTAGTTTATATTTGAGATTAATGGGTCTAGAGCTTCCTCTTCGTGCTAATGTAGCTGAATTTGCCATTGATTCTGTTGATATCATTCAGCAACAAAACAACAACAATGTCAGGTGGAAACCAAAATGCCGAGGCTATTACAATGGACAACGCAATAGAAGAAAGGTGCTAATGATGAACAACAATCAGGTAGGAGTAGAAGTCGTAACTTCACTTTGCAGCAGCTATTTCAACAATCTAAAGTAATTGATTAAGATATCATTTCATCCCTGCTGATTTTCTTTTTCAGTTCAGGCAATTCGCCATGAAAAATGGAAGAAAGAAAAGAGAGATAGTGTAGAATGCATTTTCCATTTTCTGTATTTTCCAGTATCGAAAGTTTGTCACAATTTATAAGAAACTGAGTGTTTTTCTTATTTCAGTTTAGACTGTTCTGACTCAACACAATTTGTCTTTTACAGGTTTGTTAGAGCCACGAGGCTTAGTTTAACTCCGCAATGTATCATATATACTTAAGTATCTTCCCTTCATTCAAAGGGATGGTCATTTCTACAACAGAGAAGATTTTTCTAACACCTCTAACTTGTCTTTGAGATGCAACAATTTGAGAGGGGACATGGGCTTTGTGAGTAAGTCAACATATTGATCAGTTGCAGGAATGTGTTAAATAATAAGATTTTTGTTGAGAATTTTCTCCCTGAAAAAGAAGATATCAAACTCCATGTATTTGGTTTTTTGCAATCAAAAACTAGATTGTGAGATAGAGCAGCTGTATTGAGGGTGTAACAAAATAAAATAGGTGGAGTGAAAAGGACTTTAAGTTCAATGAGGAGGGGTTGAATCCATAGCACCTCAGAAGCTGTATTAGCCAAACTTTTGTACTCCACTTCAGTGATGGTTGAGACTTTAGGGCCTCTTTTGAGTCCATAGATGCCCTTATTTAGTTTTCATACTAGATGTGTGTCAAAACTCAAAACTCTCAAATCTATTGGGCTGTTGTATATAAATTTCCTCATGAAGAATTCCATTTAAGAAGGTATTTTTAACATCTAACTGAGTGATGTGTAACTTTTTTTTAGAGATAACTAAGGTTAGCACTACCTTAACTGTGAAATGTTTAACAACAGGTGAACTTTTTTAGTAATATCAAATTTATGTTGCCGATGGAAGTATTTTGAAATCAATATGGTCCTGTACTTATTGAGAAAACCATATGGGTTTTGTTTTATTTTGCAAATCCACTTGCATCCTATGGCATGACAATCAGGGGGAAGGTTAGTTAATGTTCAAATACTGTTTTTAATAAGTGCAAATTTTTATCAGTAATAGATGCCACCCTTTTGAGATCCTTTAAGGTTGATTTGTGAGATGTAGGTTCTAGTTTGGTGTGAAGTAGGTTTGGATGAAACCTTGGTTGAACTATACCACATTATCTTCTACTTGACATTGAATGTTTAGTTTGAGGTTGTAAGTCGAGGAAAGTTATTGGAAGATGAGGGAAATTTTGAGATGTTAAGTAAGATGGGAAACAGTGAAGGTGGGGAAGGCTTAGTAGGTACAGATAGTTTAGAGGAAGACTTGCCCGTGCCATCAAAGTGAGGTATGTTTCAACAACATGCTTGTGTTTGGTTACACATAGCCATTTTGATAACGAGTGTGTGTGGATAGGCTAGTCTATGAGCTATGTCTTTTGTGTTGAATAGAGAAATTTGAGCATGAAACTCTTCTTCTCCATCAATTTGTATTGATTTAACTTTTAGTGCTAAATTGTACTTCAACAACCGTTAGAAAGTGTGTGAAGGTGAACATCAATTTAATAGAAAAAAATTCAAATATATTTTAAACAAGCATCCACATGAGAATTCATAGGTGCTAGACCTCACACATCAACAAATAGTAAATCAAAATGCGCACAATATGTTGTATTAGAAATGCAACTAGTCTATGAACTTTTCCTAAACAATATGGACTACAAGAATCAAAATCAGACCTATATGGTAGAAGTACATTGCACAAAGTGAGGGCAATTTCTTTTCTACTCATATAGGATCCTCTCAATTCTTTGACGAAATGTTAAAAATGCTTTTAATTTTCGAAGATGTATTTCTAGACGCATTTATTTTTCACAAAACTAAATGCCAACAAGTGAAGCATTCTAATTATATATAATTTTTGTTTGGAGTTACATCTTCGAATGTATTTTTGATATATTTCGGATATGTATATTCGAAAGTAGTCCAAATACTTCAAACCAGAAACAAAGACAGAATGAGCAAGATTATGAAACAAAATCAACTTTATATTAAATTAAAATACTCAACATTACAAATATAGTTGTTAATATAAATTTAACATTACATATCGTTATAAACGGATAGTTCAGGACGTTGCAACATATTGATGATATTGTCGGCGGATCTTTCAATTTTTGCATTCACTTTAATCGGATTCTTTGATGTGTAACAGTAAAATGTACTTCACATAACCTATAAATCTCCATTCGTCTTTAGTTTAAAGTTGGTGAACTGTATCTTTCCTTCCAAGTCAAGCGATGGTGAACGCTACTCGAGCTTGACAACTCTCATTTTTTGGATATCGTAGGAGAGTATTCAATTTTGTTTTCAGAATCATGAGAAGTATGACGCCGCATATTTGAAATTGAAGTGGGGAGTGCAAGACGGGGGATATGCATTCATTCTATGGTTGTTGTGTGTCTTGTAGAAAATACGGGTTGAAAGACACCCTATTTATATAAGTGTTGGGTCACTTCGGACCTTAGAAACCTTATCATGACATCATGTCACTTTTCGAAGATGCATCTATGATTAAATCTTGATTTTTCACAAAAAATGGTGTTTACGGATATGCATATATGAAAAGTTTCCTAATGTTTTAAAAAAATATATGTACGAGATTTAGTCGGATATGCATATCCCTGAATTAGAATCAAACTAGAATCTATGCATGCAAAAACAAAAAATACAAATCATAAAATTTGTAAATTGAAACAGTTGACGTTAACACTATCATTATTGAATATATATTACTTATGTATTAAATTGTCAATATTATATCGTTTACGATAATACATTCAACAAAGTATATCGATTACAATCTAAAATGTCTCAAAAGACGCGTCACCACATAAATCTACTGCTGGTTCCTCCTTCGACTTTTCCTTATTTTATTCTTTCAAGCTCGCTCAATTTGATGAACTCATCCGTCATATTGAGAAAGTGGTCCTGCCAACTTTCTGCCTCTATTGTTGAGAATGCTTCGTCCACTTCAATGATGTGTTTTTTTGTATAGGACACCCCAGTTTCAAATAAACTCCAACAAAATGTAGCGATTTTGAAAGCCGCCTAATACACATGATGGGTCCAAAATGATTTTTAGGTGGGCCTCTATGAAGTGGGAAAAATGTACTGAGAAACCATATCTTTTTAGATTGATATGCACTATGTTATCGCATTTGCTACACGATGACACATTCTAGGAAAGTGCATCCATTTAAACTGTGGTACGGAACCGTTAACACAAGGAATAAGTGCATCGTGAAATGCATCAATATGTTTAAAAAAAATTCATAGTAGCAGACAATTTTGGAGATGTATCTCCGCAATTTCGGAGATGCATCTCCGAAACAAATAGCAGGTGAATTCGGAGATGTATATACAGACATAACGCTCATTTTTTAAGCTCAAGAATAAGATTAATGTAAATAATGAGGTATGAAATGAATGAATTTTACCTTAAATTACAACTTCTTTTGCTTCCTTTGATGTAATAAAACACAAGAATGATGATTTGAAGTTGAAAAATTGATTGAAAATGGATTTTTTTTTTAGGGTTTTGAGTTATGGAGGAGGTATGGAGTGTGAAAGAGATGGTCATATATTCAATTTTCCGCTTGATATTTTTGAAGATGTATTTTCCGAAAATACTACTGAATGATTAAATGATAACCCATCTTAATAAAAACATTTTTTTTTTAAAGTAGAACCTCTAAGTTCAATCCCCATTTAGTTCATTCATAAAGTAGGTTTTATAGTTATCTCCATATTCATTTCATATGTCTTAGTTTTCCAAGTAAGAATAAATGTTGTAAAAAAGAGATATGTGAAAGATTAGAATACCTGTTTCTTTAAAATAGAGACTAAACCTTTATTTGGGGGAGATAAAAAGAAATATACTTCAACCTTTATTTTCATAGATATTGAGCGTTAGCTCTTTTTATATATCCAAAGTCTCTGTCTCTTCCCTATCCGTATCTTCATTACAAAGATTTTTACAGACGTATTTCATTCACAATTTTCTTTACTAACAACTCTTATATTTATTTTACTCTTTATCTTCATGTTCTTATCTGTCTACGATCTTCATTGCAAAGACTTACACATTTGTCGTTCACAATTTTCTTTACAAACAACTCACTCTTATTGTGTAACATCCAAAAACAGTTTATGAACTAAAACAAATAAAAAATATAAGATAAGAAAATAACATTTAAGCCTTCATTCTTTAACATCTAATTAAGAGTTTCTGAAAAATGAAAGACTTCTAGTAAGATTATATTAATATAATTATCATCTTAAAGAAATGAAAGAACCTACCTTCTGAATTTCTTCAAATACAACGTATTGTGACCTATGCCAATTTTTTACCACTGTTATTATTATTATTAGACTATCATACACAGTAACAAAAATATTTACCAGCGCAACAATTTATTAACAGAACCACAACAATTTCCAGAAAGGGGGTGTCTCAACTGAAACCATGATAAAACAGCAGTTTCTAAACTACAACAGCAACTCCATAAAATTTTGACAACTTTGAAAATGGAAATGTGAAGAACCTTTAAAATCGAAGAGGAGAACAAAGTTACAAAAAAATCAATGTAGTTATTATTTATTAAACCAGAGCAAGGAAAACATCAACTTTGGATGTTTTCTACACTTTGAAGTTCTGAAAATCAATAGCCCCACTGATCGTTCCTAATCTCATCATCAAATTTCTTCTTCAGCTCAGGATGCTTGGCAAAGTACTCGTCTGCTGTCATGGTACTGATATTTTTCTGCGCAAATAAACATAGAATGAGAGAATTTTCAATTTTATTAAACTTAAAAATTTGCGAGTTGGATTCTATTACCTTCAACTCTTGTACTTCGGCAATTTCCTTTTCCAAACGCTCAGACTCCTTCCAAGATTTCTCCTCTGCTTCTTTAAGCTCAACATACTTCAACAAGAAAACACATATACATTGCACTTAATAAAATATGATTTGATAGAATGCAAAAAATTGGATAAAATAAGGACTAAATGCTGACAAAAAATCTTACCAGTGCCTCAAATTTAGGCTTATATTGAGGAGTTACTGTGTCAACAAACTTGGGGATCTCGATGCCTGCCAAAAAAGCACAACACATCATCAAAAGTTGATTTAATGGTAATGTAAATTTTAAATGGTCTATAACAAGTTAACAACTCCTTAACTCTCTCACTTTATATGCACTACATCCATAAAGATATCTAGACACAACCCAATACACACATGGTGATTTCAAGAATTAATTTCAACAATAAACTACCACGTTATCCTAACAGCAATCCAAATGTATGATTAACAACAATTCCACATTAACTAGTCATAATAGAAAACTGAAGTGCAAGACTGAGCAGTAGTTTGCAATTGCATTGCAGAACATGTAATAATATATCAGCAAGCTTGCATGAAACCACACAAGTCATGCAAGTATATTTTCATTGTGACAAAGAAATAGAAAAATGTTGTCAGGACCGTGACCAGTTTCTTTTCTTATGGATTAACTTTTCAATTTGAGAAATAGCAAGAAAACAGTTCCAAAACAGACACATTAAATTTTCATGTAATCCATATATTCTAATTTGAATGTGTTTTAAAAATGCATTAGGCTATAGATTGCATGATGACAAAATCAATTTGGAGGATGCCTTGAGAACTTCTAGCTTCATTTTTCTGAATTCTCTATTTCCCTATCACAATAATATGGTACCATTGACTACAAGTGTAAAACCCAGTTGACGATATCAATATCCTTTTACACCTTTTCCCATATTACAAATTAATTACATGAATCGTGAAAGATATAATTTTTTAAAAGAATAAAAATCCTTAATTGAATTTGATGTAAAGTGGTGATGTATTTTGTGACCAACACACATCATACTGAAGCAACCCACCTAAACTATCGGCGCACAAAGAAGAGGAAGTACATGACAAGAATCCATTTTACAAACCTTCAATTCAATCATGTTATTACCATCAGAAATCTAAAATATATGCAAAAGAAATCTAAAATAGAGTTAAGAAAACATACTCTCATAGGCCTCCTTGTACATATCCACCAAACGAGGGCCAATTCCTTTCCTATAATATTCCCAGTCTATCGGCTCAGGCTCCTACAGATTGTGAAACATGAATAAGCAATAATACATAAATAAAAGGGTAAAATATCAAAAAATTGATACAACCCTAACATGAACCAAATCAAAATTGATGATAGAAAAAACACGATTTCAAACTTTTCCCTAAAATTCAATCGATCTAGCATATAAGAGTTAATCGGAACCCTAAATACAACAAGACGATGAAAACGAGAACGAAACTAGTGAGATCTGTGAAGGAATCTATTACCTGGCTGAACTTTGTTTGGAGTTGGGTGTTAACCTCGTCGAAAGCGCGACGGAGACCGGAGAATTCACGGCGAGCTTCATCGGAGACGAGAAGCTTAGCCATACCTTCCCAATCAATGTTCTTGCCGGCTTTGAATGCAACATCCACCACTTTTTTTGTTGGTCCGCTCATTTTCGCTTTCTCTTGTCACAAAACGCGATTCCGATTTGTTTCTGCTTATTCTCTGAAATCACCTTCACAACTAGCCACTATCACTACCAATGTTACGCTTGGTATATTGGGCCGGGTTCTTTATGGGCTGGTCTGTAATTATTATTAATTATTTGAGGAATGTTTCTGCTATCCTTCATTTTATACGTGACACCCCCATATTTCAGTAATACCCAAGTTGTCTTTTTGATACAATAAATTTGGTATTGACCAAAATATGTGATAGTTTATGCAAAATATCCGCCTCACAGGATATATGAAAATATCCCAAATATTTGCGTAGTACCGGTTTTTTTTTTAAATAAAAAATTATTGGATATTTAGTCAATTATTTAAAAATTTGATAGTTATAAAAGAGTGCGTAATTGAAAGCTACAATTTTACCGACACTTTTAGACGGTTGTGATTGCAAAAACCGTATTGTATGCTCTAGAATGACTCTAAGTTGTATAAATATGGGTCATGTCTTGTTAACTTGCATAACGTCATACAATGTCTCTTCCTCATTTTCTGTTTAAGGAAAACGTGTACTTCAACGGGATGAAAACTCCCATAGAGTTTTAGTTTTCGAAGGGTGCCACATGCTTCACCTCATTCACATCCAAGTTACATGAATTATTATCGGACACAAGTAACATAAAAATGATAAAGATCGAGTTTTGTGAAGATTAGATTGATATTGATGGTAGGGTGAAATACAACCTTATTGAATTGAAAACCGATGCAGATATGAAAGCTATGTGGAAAGCATACCACTGTATGTTAAATACGGGAATGATCAAGTTTGAGGAGACAATTTTTAGATCTGTCGATGACATAATCAAGATGTTGAAACGTTTAGAATCATTTGGTAGTGTTTAGGTTTTCTAATATATTATTGTTTTTTTAAGTAATGTAATCGTCTGTCTAAGTTATGTTAAGTTATGTTCATCATGCATCAATGGAAGTGCCTGAATGTTATTGAATAAATAGTTGTGCAAATGTCTAAGTATAGTACATGAAAATAACAATAATGTCTAAATAGGCCCTCCACAGGCTATGTGTGCTACCTGCGCTACCAAACTATAAACCTCGCCATCTGGGTTCACCACACCCATGAGGTTATCCATAATGACTTTTATCCTCTACAAGCGCTGGGCGTCATCTGCACCATGTGAAGGAGGTGGAGGCGGCGCCATGCCATGAGGAACTCCCCCAACATCAGCATGAGAAGAACCATCATGTAAAAATCCAATATGAGAAGGACCAACATCATCTTCATGTTGCTAATGTGGGATGATGCGAAGATGTGATACAGTAAGGTACCAATCCAAATACCCATCCACACAATCCGTAGGGAACTGAATGCATGATGAACTCATAACGTAACCACGAAACCATCTATGAATGCCCTCTGATGGAATAGCAGGGACTGGTCGTGGGATGTCCTGTACAAATCCATACTGGTGTAGGCACCTCTCAGGTAAGTGTCTAGTCACTAACCCCTCCCATCACATGTAACTTGAAAAAAAGTATAACGTCATTAACCTTGTCATCCACGATATGACATATGTAAGGTGTCTAGATGACATCATCTACAATTAGCGCATCAATCATCCTCCTGTACTCCATAACACCTCCCATATATGCATGTCTACTCCTCCATCTCTTGTTCTGTGGGCACCCAACAGTGGTAGAAACAACCTGTTTGTCACAAATGGATGGGAAATGCTCGTATATCCAGCATTGCACACAATAAAAAAAACACATATAACCATAAATAATATCATAGAGATAACTAACATAATAATAAAGACTCATACATGAAACAAACTCATATAACCAGAAAGCTGCCTAGTCTAAAAAACAATCGTCTATCCAAGAGCAAAGTATAGAACCATCAATTCAGAACACCACTTGTGCCCAATTGTAATGCTCAAGACTGTTAAATAGTCACATATACTTCGCATCAATGTATACATGAGACTTATCTACTAAGATAATGCATCCTACAAGATTTAGCATGTATACCCCAGCGACTTCTTGATACTTACACTAACGCGCTAGCTTTTTATACCTATTTCAGAGCCAAGATAGGAGAAAGTGAGCACCCCTCATAAACTTAAACTCATATATCACTTGCAACTCGGTAATCCCTAAGTACTTAACAACTCTCATATGTGCGGTCTCCTGACTAATGATAGTAGCGATGAAGAAACTACCTACCATCGAAATATGGAAACACGATGAGACATCCTCCAATGTAATCGTCATCATACCAATGAGACATCATCCAATGTAATCGTCACCATACCAATGAGACATCATCCAATGTAATTGTTATCGTACCAATGGTGCATTGATATAAAATGATCAAGTTGTTGCTTATGCTTCTTGACAATTGAAAGTTCATGGGATGAATTATCCTATGCATGACCTAGACTTGACACTCGTTGTGTTTGTGTTAAAAATTTGGAGGCATTATTTGTTTGGTTCTAGATTTGAAGTGTTTAGTGACCACAAGAGTTTGAAGTACATGTTATATTAAAAAGAGTTCAATATGAGGTAGAAGAGATGTCTCGAATTATTGAAGGATTATGCTTGTAGCTTAAGTTACCATTCGGGTAAAGCCAATGTAGTAGTCGATGATTTAAGTAGGAAGTCGTTGCATATGTCAATACTGATGGTTCAAGAATTAGAATTGATTGAGAAATTCAGAGACATGAGTTTGGTGTGTGAAGAGACTCCTAACACTGTGAAGTTGGGTATTTTGAAGCTGACTAGTGGTATCCTTGAAGAAATTAGAGAAGGTCAGAAAATCGACTTGGGATTGATCAATTGGTAGGTGTTAATACAATGGTCTAGTATTCATCTCGGCACCACTAAGATGTACCAAGATTTAAAGAAGATGTTTTGGTGGCCAAGAATGAAGAGAGAAGTAGATGAGTTTGTTTACACTTGCTTGACTTGTCAGAAGTTGAAGATTGAACATCATAAGTCGTTGGGTCTAATGCAACCTTTGAGCATTCTTGAGTGTAAATGGGACAACATTTTCATGGATTTTTTAACGAGTTTCCCGAAGACGATGAAAGGATGTGACTCCATTTGGGTTATTGTCGATAGACTGACTAAATTGGCTCATTTCATTCCGATTAACATCAGTTATTCTCTGCAGAAGTTACTTGAGTTATATATTGAGAAGGTTTTTAGCTTGCATGATATTTCTTCGAGTATTATTTTTGATAGAGATCTGATATTCACATCGAGGTTTTGGCAGAGTTTGCAGGAAGCGTTGAACACTAAGTTATGCATGAGTTATGTGTATCATCCGCAAACAGACGATCAAACATAAAGGATTATCTAATCTTTTGAAGACTTATTAATGGTCTGTATGCTAGAACAAGGATGTGATTGAGATAGCTACTTGTCGTTGATTGAGTTCATATACAACAATAATTTCCATTCTAGTATTGGAATTGCAACGTTTGAGGTGTTGTATGGTTAGAGGTGTAGAACTTTTTTTTGTTGGTATGAATAAGGTGAGAGTATAGTGCTTGGACATGAGATTGTCCATAAAACCTATGAGAAGATCAAGATGATCCACGAGAATATGAAAGCTTCGTAGAATCGTCAGAAGAGTTATCATGATAAGAGGAGGAAGGCACTTGAGTTCCTTAAGGGAGATTATGTATTTACGAGAGTTACCTTGATAACTGGTGTTGGTCGAGCTTTGAAGTCTCAAAAGCTAATGTCACGGTTTATTGATTCATATCATATTATAAAGCAAGTAGGAGAAGTGGCCTACAAAGTTGCATCACCATCATTTCTGTTGAATCTTCATGACGTCTTCCATATTTCTCAATTGAGGAAGTATATTCTAGATCCTTCTCATGTGATTCATGTGGAAGATGTGCAAGTTAGAGATAACTTGATTATTGAGACATCTCTCTTGAGAGTAAATGATCGTGAGGTGAAGCACTTGAGAGGCAAGGAGCTTGTGCTGGTAAAGGTGGTTGTCGCAACTGCGAAAAACACCCGGCGGAAAAACAGAAGAGTCGCCACCGAATGTTATTTACCCCAAAAAGAGGGATATGAAAAGATCGAAAAAAACCTAAAAGAATGGAGAAGACAAGGTCATCGCAACCAAATATTAGGTTCAGAAGTTGGCTACAAAGGGAAGGTATGAGTACCCCTCACGTCTGTTGTACTCAATGGAGTCCACGCTTGTTGTATAATTAAAGGGTGTGTCCTCTAAAAGCTACTGCTAAACGGAAACGAGAATGAAGAAAAAAGAAAGAGATTCGATAGGACATTGCCGCCATATGCCTATGTATTCTCATCTGGTATGAGAAATCAGAGCAAACGTAGTTCGGGTCTACGAAACCACAAATTGGTTAAGTGTTTTTTATAAGCGATGTTAAGTTTCCATTCCAGTAGTTAGGGTCGATGCTTGTTTGCGGTATAACGGAAAAGTAACATACTCTTTCTGAAAATTAGTTTTGAAACACAAATCCCGAAGGATAAAAATATTTGAATTTTGTTTGTAAGTTTTAGTGAAGTGAATTAGCTTGCTTGGTGATTTTCGTTGCACTAAAGACTATGATATAGGAGCAAATGCATCACATATCGCCCACCGGGTGTACACTAAACATTATAGACAAGTGAGGAGAAACCCCCCACTCATTATTTTCCATATACTTAAGGCTCGTGGCGCACAACATTCAACGTCTTTATTAAGTATGTTAGCAATGTTTTGAGATGAGAAGAGAGAAAGACGCACAGAAGGTCTAAGGAAAACATGGTCCTAACGCTGTCATGCAAAGTGACCCTAAGGTCGGGATACAAAAGGAAATTTTATCCTAATGTTAGCATGCAAAGGATTGACCTTAGGTTAAGGTTAAAAGGGACTAGCCTATTTGTTATCATGCATGGATTACACTCTTAATGTCTATCCTAATCCAAAATTAATCAAAAATTAAATT